ATCCAGAGGGAAAAATCAAGTGAATCAAAGCCATTTTCAAATCACTTCCAGTAGATTTAAATTAAACCAAAGTAAAACAACTGTACCTTTTGGCCTGATTGCTCAGGGAGGGATTAATTGTGATTGCACTGATACAATCTGAACCCACACCTTGACTTCAGGGGTAAGTTTTCCCGAGTTTTTGCCAGAGTCCCGGCTTGGAGGGCAGGTGGAGTGTCTGGTGGATCACTTCCCAGCCATTCCCACATGGTGTCAGCAGCTCTCAAGGAAAGCACTGCGGGGTCCTGGTTACCCGTGGAGAGATGAGGGGTTTGCTTGGGATCCTTCTCCCAAGAGGAGGGAACTTGTGACTGAAGGCAAGAGGAGAGGAGAGTGGCTCTGAGGGAAGGACGTGGATGAGATCACATCCCTACTCCCCTGAAAAAGCCCAGCTCTGTCTCTGCTGGTTACCAGGGCTGGGATGGCCACAGCCAAAAGGGGACGGTGACCACGGATTACGGGTCACCCGAAAGGCTCCTTTTGCATTGCTGGTGTTAAAAAAGGGGGTTCATTCCCCTGCCAGATCTCGGGAGCAGGTCTCTGGGGTGGGCAGGTACCAGGAGCGTCCCTGGGGGAAGCAGCTCTTCTGCAGAGCTGATCTCTCACTGGGACATCACCTCTGTGCCCGAGTGGCCCTGGAGGTGCTCCCCCATCCTGAGGTCCCTTCCAAGCCCAACCACTCTGCGATTCCATGGTGACCTTCTCTGGCACGTCCAATGGCCACAGCCCGTGCAGTGCCCTGAAGAGGCTGCCCAGGGGAGGCAGGAGGCTCTGGCAGCCTTTCAGGGCTTGTTTGTGGTGCTGGGGAGACCTTTCTGTTGGTTGTTCTGTGCAGCTCCAAAACAGCCTCACGCCTCCGGCTGTTTGGGCTGTGCAGGCAGCGCTGGCACGTGAGGGGAGAGGTGTGGAGGCCCGTCAGGGGCTGCTGGCAGCACAGCTGGATGAGTCTCGCATGGATCTGGTGCCTTTCCAGCTCTGCTGCAATCCCCCGAAGCCTGGTGGAAGCCACATCTCTGGGGGTCCAGCTCCACGGCTCCCACCCTCTGCACGAGGTCGGGGAGCGAAGTTTGAGCAGGAGCCTTGTGGGCTGGTCCCCTGTGACCCACCAGGACCCACCTGTGAAGGTGTGAACGTCTTCAAAGGGGCTTGTGCAACGCCCGCGGAGCTGAGCGATGGTGCTGCCTGGGTTAGTCATCCACAAAGAGCTTTGTTTTTCCTCTCCCCCTCCCCGCCCTGGCACAGGGGCTGAGGCTCTTTCTCACTGCTTGGTGTGGCCAAAACTTAGAGAAAACACGTTATCTCCCAGGGAATCAGTCAACTCTCCCCTGAAAACATGAGTTTCTATTTGTGCAGCCCTGGCGGTTGGGTTTTGCCCCGGCAGGGTTGGATTCTGCTGTTGTAGCCCCAGAGTATGAAACCAGGGCTGCTGGGACACGTGTGCACACCTGGACACGTGTGTCTGCTCACTGAGCTTCATGTGGAGACGGGAGATTCTCTCAGGAGAAGGCACAAAGCCGTGGATGAAACCTGCAGGATGCAGGAGCTGGAAATCGGTGGGAGAAATTCTGATTTTGGTACAGGGCAGCACGGGCAGACTCCAAATCCTGGAAGTATTCCACTGGGAATACTTGGCCTTTTCCTCCCCTGCAGGATGATTCTCCTGCAGAATTGTCCTGCATTCACACAGGTTTCCCAATAAAGCCCATAATCGCCCAACAATTAGTTTTGTGCCAGCACAGAAAGGAAAGTAACTCTGCTCGTTATCTTATTTTAGACAATTGAATTAAAAACAAAGCAGCAGGAAGGGAAGTTTCGGTTCCTGCAGCACACAGAGGAGCTGCACGGGCTCAGCAGTGACAGAGCTCGTGCCTGGGGTGCTCTGCAGCCGCCCTGCACGTGGAGCAGGTGAGCCCAAAGGCTCCCTACCTGCTCAGACCTGAACGAGGTTTTTGTAACAAGCTGTGGCAGCGACAGGTGGTGGTTTAATACCGAGATTGGACTCCCTTGCTTGAGTAACTCTCAGCCGTGCAGAGCCGGGGTCTGGGTGAGCGTGGGGAATGGCTCTGGGTGAAGGCAGTCGGCGGCTGCCAGAGCTGGGCTGGGAAAGTGGCAATTTCTACCAAATGATTTCCACCAAACCCGAGCACGCGAAACCGTGTTTCGTTTCTTGAGAGGCCGGGAGGGCTCCCACGCGTGGTGTGAGCACAGAGCCAGGTCAGTGCTCTGCAAAGGGACGTTTCACCTTGTTTTAGTGCTTGGGGAAGGAGCAGAATGGGCTGTAAGGTGGGCTAGGAGTGGACTGTGCTGCTGTCATTAAGTGCAGCACGGTGCTGTTATTTCTAGTTATTTTTCCTTATAATCTGACTGTGTGTTCTTGCCAATGGCTGGCTCTGAGCTGACCCTGCCACCTTCTAATCCATGAGAAGTCCTAGTCAGACCCTTTTATTTACTTGCTTTGAGCTCATGAAGCTGCTTATGATGACACAAACAAGGGGCAGGAGAGATCTCAGCTGCCTTTCCCCAGATCCATCTTACAGTGGCACTGGGATGGACAGAACCCCCTCACCTCTGTCCCCTCTGGGGGAGGCAGCTCTGCAAGCTGGGGAGGAGGACAGCTGTGCAAGAAGTTCTCCCCTGAGGTGTGACACCTCCACCCCAGAACAGGAGTGGGGGTTATTTTTCCCTATAAAAGAAGCAGTGGAGAGGAAGCCATGGCCCCCTCTCAGCTATTCTGATGCTGCAGCCCTGCCACCACCCTTCCTCATCACCCACAGGCAGTATTTTTAGGGTTTGTTTGCTTCACTCAGCTCCAAATCATTCTTTCTTAGGGTGACAAGGACTTCCCTCCCGCAGCTGCCCAGGAGGCACATCAGAAACCACAGCCCTGCCTGGAGAACTTTCCCCTTCCCTTTCCCATCAATCAGGTCATTCATCAGTAAATGATGGGGAGCAGCAGCACCTGGGACAGCACAAGGAGGGAAGGGGACACACCAGTGCCTGCTCTGGGATGGACGGGAGCAACTGCCAACTCCCCCAGTTCCAGTTCACCTCCTCCTCATTCCAGTTTTCCTCCCACCCAGCCCAGATCCGTTTGGCACTAAGGGCTTTCAAGCCATAGCTTAAAAACATCCACGTGCACAGATAAAGAACTGTCAGGGAAGGAGAAATGTTCAGCAGCAACGCTTACCCAGAGCAATGAGGAGTCCAGGGCTTCCGAGTGATGAAGATTTCCCCCAATAACCTGGAAAAGGGACTGCAGGAACCACCCAGACTCCACACAGCTGACTGGGTGGCTGCTGTCTCTCCTACTTTTGTGTAGTTTAGGGCAAACCTGCGGCCCTTTTCTTCTCGAACCTCTGGGCCAGATGCTGAAACTCACCTCGTGCTTTCTCTTTCAGGAGAAACCGTGAGTCGTTGTTGCTCAGTGAAAGCAGAAATGGGCCTCAGCCCTGGCACTCACCTGCCACGATTCCTGTCTGCTCCTGTTCTCTGAGGTCCTTCCTCTTTGACTCTGTGGTTGCAATTCACAAGACACTTTCTGTAAAGGATGTGGGTCATCCCTGAGTGCCTTGAGGCACAAGTGGATCGGGAAGGAACGTTGTGTGCACGTTTATGGTGCCACACTGGCCTGTTTTAGTTGCAGTTCCTACTCTGACTCTGGCTGTGGGGGTTGCATCCCCCCAGAGCTGTGGTCGCTGCCTCTCCCTGTGAGCAATTCCCACAGTAAGACTGTGTTTTATTGCTGAATTTTAATTTAAAAATAAACAATAAAATGCTGCAGCACGAAGGCTTTTCACTTAATTGTTGGTGAGCAGCCAACACATGTATCCAGCTGTGGAGCAGCGTTAAGGCAGGTGGGTTAATAGTTAAAATAAAGACTCCTTAACTTGCTGGTGACTTGTTTCCAGTATAATCCATCAGCAGATGGAGTAAACCAACTTTTTTCTACTTAGTTTATTTTACATTGCTTCCTTTCCTGCAGGGCAGCGCTGGTGTGAAGCTGAGCTGATCAGACAGCTCCTGACAGGACAAAAAGGAGGTGACAGGGACTGTACAAGGATGGAGAAAATGCAATGGAAAACTAAAGATATTTTATTTAAATCATTATAATTTATTTTTTCACAAATAGCAAAATACAGTCAGTTTTCAGACATCAGTGGGGAACCTCGAGTTGGGATCTTGGGCCGATGTTAACATGACTCATCTAAATCAGATGCAAATTTGTTCTGTCCATTAAATTTAAACAAGGAAAGCTGCTCACTGGCATTGCCACTGCCTCACTGAGGCACCAGCTGTTCCACACGATGCCCTTGGACCTCATTTATGGAAGCAGCTGCGTGTCCTGTGGCCCATAAAGACCTGGAGACCTCTCCATTTGCAGGAGGGGAATGGCTTTTATCAACAGGAGACAAGTCCAGCTCCCTGTGCTGGTGGAGGGTGAACAGGGTGAATGGATTCTGCATGAAAGGTTCCGTGGCAGCAGTGTGTTCTCAGGGTACATTCATGAACAGATTGAGCTTTGTCTGTGTAAAGCAGCTTTACATATTGAATATACATTAAAAATTTATTGTTACTGATGAGGAAAACTGCAAAGCCCCTGTGCTGGGCATGTCCCTTGCTCTGGCCAAGCTCTCAGGAGCTGTGTCTTGCCCGAGTAAGGACAAGGAACAAACCAAGGACAAATGACTGTTCAGTGTCAGCTGTCACCCCCCTGCTCTGTGTGACAGAGAAGCAGCACTTCTGTGCAGTCACCTGAGCATTGTAAAAGAAAAGGAGTTCAGCAGTTCAGCACAGACAGGTAACACGGAGCAGAACATCCTTTCTTCCCAAATCCCAGCCCCTGGCAAAATGCCATACCCCCAATACAAATGGTTTGTGAAGAATTGATTTAGTTATGGTGGCAGGCAGGTCTGTAACCCAGCCAGCTGAATTCTGCCTTGGAAGGCTGATTTTAGTCCCCGTGTCCCTGAGGCAGTGCTTTCCAACCTGCAATCCATGGAGTTCCCTGTGTCACTGCCGATGGATCTGTGTGTTAAAAAAGAGGATGAATGTCTTAGTGAGTGTTTTGCTGCACAAGGTTCTGTGTGTCCAGGGGAACGTGGACAGGCTTCCCCTGCCAGCCCTGGGAGCGGCTCCTGGCCGAGAGCTCTCTCCACTGGCTCTGGGAGAGCTGTGGGATCAGAGCTCCCAGGACAAGGGCAGGAACAGCTGCACAGGCCGTGCAGCAGCTCCCCCTGACTGCAGCTGTCCCACGGCGGCGCTTCCCAGGGTGGTCATCTGTCAGCAGGAATCTTCGCTCTTCCCGTCAAAGTGCCAACTGGAATTACAGCCTGGGCTCTTCCAAGGCCTGACTTTCCATGACAGACTTTCCATGGCAATCTGCTGTTCAGCTGCTGTGGCCCTGGCAGGGATTTTCCACACATGACTGTCCTTTGCGTTTAGATCAAACCCCGGCGAGCGGCGTCTTAGTTGGTGCCGACAGCACCGAGGCAAAACACGTCCCAGTAGCTTATGAGTGAAACACAGATCTGACTTCAAAGGCAGCTGAAGTCCTGCTAGAAGGACACATTGGTTGGGAGGGGAAGGAGAAAACCCACCCTCACGTTTATCTCTTGAAGCCAGCAGGTGATAGCACAGAAAGAAGATACAGGCAGAAGCGAAGTGGAATTTGTACTTTTCCTGAAAAACTTACGAGTGGCCACAGTATTATACAAAGTAATTGAAATTGTGGCTATAATTTGTATGTATTTGTTATTAGTTATAGGCATTTCTGGCTTCTGATGGGGGAAGGCAGAGCAGAGTCGAGTGCTCGGGTGCTCCACAGCTGGTGTTGTGTGTTGGATCGAGTGTGAGGCAAAGGCTGTGGGTGCTGGTTTGTCTTGGACTGACTCGGTGCAAGGGGCATTTCTGTAGGACTGCAGAGCAACAGGTTGTCTTGTAAAAAGTAACATCCAAAGCAAGGGTGATGCTCCTGGAAGCTCAGCTCCAAACCAAACATTTCTGCTGCCCCAGTGCCTGTTTCTCTGGGTATTTGTTGCTTTTAGGGAAAATGTTCTATTTTGAGCATTTCTGATTTTGACTGGGAAAGACTAAACTAAAGGTGAAATGGCAGGAGGAATTGTACACTCACCACCTCTCCCTTGCTTTGCTGTTAGTGACAATCCTATTGGAGTCTCTCCCAGGGGGAGGCTCCTGGGTTTTCCTCTTGCCTTCCCTGCAGTTTGTCAGGCTTCGCTCTGCCGGGAGTTCAGAGTAGAGGAAGTGTTCAGAACCGTTCCAGCTCGGCCCCAGCACGCCCGGGGCTCGGCTCACGGGGAGAAGGTGGTGGTTGTCTCTGTCTCCATGGCGAAGGAGAACCTCTTGCTCTCGCGGCAGCTGGTGAGCTGCCAGAGGCGCTCCTGGCTCAGGCAGCCCAGCTCCTTCAGCAGCTTGAAGAGGTCGGTGCGGAATTTGACGCCGATGAAGGCGTAGAGGAAGGGGTTGAGGCAGCATCGGAAGCACGCCAGGGTGTAGGTCACGTCGTCCGCCACGTCCAGCTTCTTGCTCTCCTCACACGAGCTGGTCTGGTTGAAGGCCGAGATGGTCTTGGCCAGCATGACACCATTGTAGGGCAGCTGGAAGACGACGAAGACAATGACCACAGCGATGATGACCTTGATGGCTTTGTTCTTCTCAAAGTTGCGGGCCTGGAGTAGCGTTCTGATGATGACGAGGTAGCAGAAAGACATGACCAGGAGGGGGATTAAGAAGCCGAACACCATTTGCGACACTTTGATGCCGGTGTTGAAGGTCTGCAGGTCGTGAGCGATGATGGAACAACGGGGATGGGTCTCCAGGTTGTTCACACCGCTGTGAACCAGCTCGGGGATGGAGAGGATGAAGGCCAGGAGCCAGATGATGACGCACGTCACCTTGCTGATGAATATCATGCGGGGCCGCAGGCGGTGGGCCGAGGCCGCCTGGACGATGGCGAAGTACCTGTCGATGCTGATGGACAGCAGGAGCAGCATCCCGCTGAAGAAACTCATTTTGCAGATGCAGTAAACGGCCTTGCAGGCAAACTTCCCGAACAGCCAGTGCGTGGCCGCGCTCGCGGCCCAGAAGGGCAGGGTCAGCAGGAAGAGGATGTCTGCCAGAGCCAGGTTCAGCAGGTAGATGTCCGTCATGGTCTTCAGCCTCTTGAAGTAGATGTAGGTGAGCATGACCAGCCCGTTGCCCAGCAGCCCCGTGAAGCAGATGAGGCTGTACATGGCCGGGAGGAAGGCGGCGCGGAATGAACGCACCTCCTTCTTCTCACACAGGGTCTCGAACATGGTGTAGTCGATGGTGGTGTTGGAGTCATAGTCATCGGTGACGTTGTCCCCGGCACAGAACTACAGCAGGAAAGAAAAGACGAGTGTTGGGACGGGACCTTGCGCCTTCGCCGGGAAGGGAGCCTGGAGAGGAGTCCCAGGGAGTTCCCAAGTGCTGGCCCGTGCCAACATCACAAACAGAGCTGGCGTGGCCTTGTGGCTGAAAACGTTTCCCACAAGTGTGTGTGGGGGTTTGGGGCTTTTCGGGGGGCTCCAAGTGGGAATTCCACCAGAAATGTTTAGTGCTCAGCCAAAGTAACACCTGCGAAACCCTCAGACGTGTGGCAGCTTTCCAGAGTGTTCCAGGGCCCGCCTCCAGCTGTGTGTACACAGCTGGCTGGTGGGTCAAATGTGAGAAATAAAACATCCTTCAGCTAAATCAGAAATGAACAGAGGTGGCGGTGGGACGGTGAGGAAATGCAGTGAGTGCAGCAGGAAGCTGCTCCGTGCTGGCGCAGACGCGGTGCCGGCGTCTCATTCAGGCCCCTGATTTCAGTTCTGATTATTCTCGTTTCATCTTCCTACGCTGCCATAAGCTGTGGGGCAGAGGGAGCCTGTGGTATCTGTGCCCTGCTTTCTGTGACTTATTAGTCTCCAGAACCTTCTCCCCATCGCACAGAGATGAAAGATACCCCCCCCCCGTTATCAGGAGCATCTCTGTGCTCACCATCTCGGCAGGTTTGGTTTCACCACATCCTCCCAGTAGTGAAAGGGAAAAGAATGGGCTGCTCGGCTCTGCCTGAGCCTCAGGGAGCCCCACGGGCCTGGAGGGGCTGGTGCTGCCTGGGACTGCAGGCACCAGGGCCAGGCCCCAGTCTGGGAGCAGGTCATGGCACAGCTCCGTGCTTGGGGTTCTCCTTCCTGGTCAGGGTGACTCCGAGCAGGAACAGGCAGAGGAAGATGCTGGACTCTTCCTCCTTGGGCACATCTCTTTCCAGCACAGCCCTTGGTCGGAGCCTGGCACCTTGACCAGGGATTTGCAGGGAGCAGGGAACAAGCTGCTCCCCACTGTCAGCATAGGGTGCTCCTGTCTGTCCTGGAAATGCTCATTTTGGGGCTGACCGGGGACTCTCACAGCCACGGCCATTTGAAAATCACGGCGTTTGTGTCACTGTTTTTCCCTCCTTGGTGTTGTTCCTCCTGTTTGTGTTTCTCTAGCAGGGCTCTGCTCTCACCTCCCACCTCCCACGGCTGGATCCTGGGGTGAGCAGCCCCGTCCCCACACACCTCTGGGGCTGTGGGTGGCTGCTCTGAGTTTTTGAGATCTCTCTTTAGCCACAACACAGAGCTGCTGGATTTCAAAATGCTGTTAAAAACATCTTACCTGAAAAACGAGCGGCAGGCTGAAAACAAGGGTGACCTTTAGCTGCTTGCCTAGGATAGAAGGAGATGCTCTGTTAGTGGCTGAGTGGGGCTTTCCACGTGGTTCTCACTTTGAAAAAGCAGAGCCCCCACAGCTGGGGAAATCAAAACCTGGTGAAGATGCCAACAGGATAACCCGGGGTCACACAAGTTACTGTCAGAGCACGGATGAAGTCTCAGGAGTCTGGTCCCTCCGGCTTCACAGAACCAGAGAACAGTTTGGGTTGGCAGAGACCTTTAAAGGTCATTCAGTCCAACCCCCTGCAGTGAGCAGGGACGTCTTCAACCAGACCAGGTTGCTCAGAGCCCTGTCCAGTGAAGGCTGAGAGCTGAGGACACTTGTGCACAGCGCACCCATTTTGATTTCATCCATTACCTTTCCCTGCAGGCAGCCAGCAGCCTGTGCCCTGTGCCTGTGCAGCTTAACCCACGTGAAAACAGCCAGCTGTGAGGGCCATAAATCCAGCCCAGCTGTGCCCCTGCAGTGCCAGCTCCCCCCCGGGACAGACAGAACTGGAACTGCCTGAAATTTATTGCTCCTCTCTAAATGTCAGGGTTGGCTTCTGCTGCCTTGGGATGTGGAGATACAGGACGCTGACAGCTGGGAGGGAAAATTGAATTCAGAGCCAGGTGTGATGGTGGTGAGAGCAATCTCAGCCGTGCAGCTCTTCCTGCTGTGGTTTGCAGGGCAGGGACCAGGGCAGCTTTCTCCTCTCTCTATTTAAAGCTCGTACCAGCATCTACCTCGGGCAGTTGCCACTGAAAGTTCGCTCAGCTGGAAGGTGACAGTGAGAAAGCCCCGGGCTCTGCTCTGGTGTGAGCAGGAGAGTCCCTCCCTGAGGGACAGTGGCATCAGCTGTGGAGTGTTGTGCTGCTGCCCCAGGATGTCCCTGCAGGCCCTGGCTGCTCCCCGCACTGCAGGCCCTCACTCCCTGTGGGATATCTGCTCTGGGAGCACCGAGCGAGGAGATGTCTTTGGTTTTCAGTTGCCTGTTCCTTCCAGAAACTCTGCCTTGCTCCTCGTGGCCTGGTTGTTCATGAATGTGACTGATTCCTGTGCCCCTCTCGTGCTCAGTGTCTGCTGGACACAGCTCTGCTGTTTCAGAGCTCCTTTGTGCCCTTCCCTGCTCTGTCAGGCTCCTGCTCAGGTGTTGCACCACGACCAGGATGTTGAACTTCCACTGCTTCAGGTAACTGCACCCATTGCACCATGTCCCCATGTTAAATCACATGCAACAGCATCACTAATAACAGACAGAGTTACTTGGGTATCTGGACTGGAGGTGTTTGTTTATACACGACAGTGATGTGTGGGTGAGAGATCCTCAGCCACGTGTGAAAACTCACGCTGCTCATCCCCAGGCCTGTGTAACAGCCTTCTCCAAGGTCCCCTAGAAGTTGTGTCTCACCTCATTTTCATCATTTATACTCATGCAGCTGCGTGCTTGGTTGTGTTCACCCACCCCTCACCTTCTCCAAATCCTCCTGGGGGGACCTGAGGGGTTCACCAGGGGTTAGTCAGGAGGGGAGGAGAGCAAGGCTGGGCCCGAGGGGAGACAGGGGAGCTTCTGTCTGTCTGAAAGCCAGTGGCTTTCACTCTGAGCAGTCCCAGACTGCAGGAAGAGGTTTGGTGTCTGGTGTGGTCATCTCCCCTCAGAGCTGCTGCTCTGACTTTGCACGTTACACAACAAATACACTGAAAGGCCCAAGGACTGGGACCCGCTGGGTGATTTAAGCAAGCCAGGACTGTAACTGCCCTCCCTGCCTGGGAAAGGGGCACAGGGTCCCTGATCTCTGCAAAAACCCAGCCATGGGAGTCTTTATTCTTCTGTTGCTCCTCCTGAATAGCCTGGTTCCTTGGGGACTCCTGGGGTTGGTGCTGTGGCTGCCTGTGGATGGATGATGAGCCCCTGTGGGTGGGTGATAACCTGTGCTGGCCCAGCTCAGCCCCACCAGGCAGGGGCTGAGGCCTCAGATGCAATTACCTCCCTGGCAGCTGGATAAAAGGAGGCAGAGGAGAACCACCCTCATTCCAGGGAGGAAAGCACCGACCTAAACCCAACTCCAGCAGCTGCTCTCCATGGCTTGGTTTGCAGTCCCCAGGCCCAGCCCTGGCTGAACATGAGCAGTGGCAGTGCCCAGCCCTGGTGAGAGCTGCTCTGCTCTGTTGTGTTCTGTTTTCTTATCACCCAGTGAAGGTCTAACAAAACAGGACCGAAAACGTGACTCAACCAACTCCTGGAACAGTTCAGCCCATATCATTCCTTTGAAGATCATCACAGTTTTCCCTCCCCCTCTCAGTTGCTGTTTCAAGTGTCTTAAATGTCAAATGACTTTTCAATATGAAGAAAGCCTGTGCTGTCTCTGCCCCTCTTGCTGTGCCCCCACCTCAGGTTACACGCTTGCAAAGGCTCAAGCCCAGAGGCCCTGCAGCCTCTTGCTCCTCACACACCAGTTCGAGCTCGTCTGTGCCACTGGTTTCAGTGAGACTGGACAGAACCTGGGTCTCCCCTCAGTTCTCTTGTGGTCTGGGGCACTGGACAGAAGCAAATGAGAAGGCATGAGCTGTGCTCTGCAGTTTATCAGCCAGTTTAGGTACATTTTCTTACTTTTTCTTTCTTTTTTCACACCCCCTGGCAGTTGGCTGCTCTGGGTATTTTCTTAAAAGTTCTTAAAGTTTTGTTCCTCAAAATATTAATGGAAAAAAAAAAACCCTCCCAAAAATCCCCACAACCAGTTGCACTAGAAACCTTGTTTATAAAAATATACCAAAACCCCACCACAGCAAATGAGTCAGCCTGGCCCTGACAGCCCCCACGTCCCTCAGCGTGGGAGGTGCTGGTTTGCTGCTGTCCCTGTCCTGCAGGACCCAGGGACAGGTGGAAAGGGGAATTGCTCCATGGGAATGAAGGAGGGAAGGGGTCTGTGGATGGCAGGGGATGGCAGCACATCAGTTTTGACAATCTTCTTCCTTAGATTAAGGCCAAGGGGTGGGATTCACCCCTTGACACCTGCTGAGCTGTTCAGGCTCCCTCAACAGCAAAGGGAAAGAAACAGATGTTTTTAAATCATAGTTCAGGTGTCCTGGGCTGGGCACCTGGGCTGTGCTGTGGCAGAAGAGTGGGTGAGTTTGGGCAGGTAAATCCCACTCAGTTTATCTGAATCTGCCTCAGCATCAGCAGCTAATTGTAAGCAAGGTACGAGCAGGAACAGTGAATCCCCTCAGGTACACCTGGGAAAGCTTCTGACAGTGAGAAATATTTGGAAGCAGGACATTTGCCCCGAGGAGGAGAGAGGAGCAGAGACATGACCCTGAGGGTGGTTAAATCAGGCTGGACAAAGGACCAGGGCAGCTCCTGCCCACACGGGTCCGGCTCACACCGGGGGAGCAGCCGCTGCCTAGGGATGGATGAGAGCAAAGCAGAGGTTGGGAAGGCTTTAGGGAGCATTGGGAATGCTTTAGGGACCATTGGCAAAGCTGAGCAAACCTGTCCTGGCCAAACCCTCGTGGTGAAAGAACATTTTTTGGTCTCCTGGAACTGCAAAGCAAAAGTTCCTGCTCAGCACACGTGTAGGCAGGGAGTGACTTACTCTCTGCATCTTCATACATGTACCAGTTTCTGGTGCCTCTTCACCAGCAGCACAGAGGCTTCTGGGGGAAGAATTGGGTATTTCTGAGAACAGTTAATCACACTCAAGTGATCTAATGGCTATTGGCAGTTAACAGCTCCGTGCCTTCCCCTCCTCACAACCGGCAGGGCAGAGGCACCGTCATTTCAGGAGTGAGCAGACCAGAGAAACCCAGCCACGCTCTTATTTCTTGTGTTCACTGATCTGTTACAGAAGAAAGTTAATAATTATCTGCCTCCGCTCCTTTCAGGAAACTGTGAATCAAAGGACAAGATAAGCAGGGATAAGCAAGTTAAAAGCCTCACACTGAAGTGAGCCAGAAGCATTTCAAAGACAGCACCACTGCTGGGCATCTTCCAGAGGGATGGAATATTCCTCTGAAATACAACAGCAGGACAAAAACCCCAAAGCAGGAACACCATCCTGCTCTTCTTGTCAGATTCTCACTAACTCTTCCTTTTCCCTGTCATGATTTGCCTTTCCCAGGAGCTAAGCTCGAGTTCAGCTGCCCCCAAACACCAAACCCCTCGGAACAAGCAGCCACAAAGCGCCCATGGGATGATGCAAGGGCCAGAAGTTTAAACAGGAGGAGAGTGATGTGTGGTGGGCAGGTCCAGATGGGTTCTGATGTGTTGGTTTGGATGGAGGGATTCTAAAATCCAGGAATTTCCTTAGCCATTGATTGCCGGAGGCTGTGAGAAGGCATCCATGAGAAGATTCCCTCAGCCCCTTCCCTGCTCCTGCCTGGACAGTGCTGTGGGACCCAGCCCCTCCTGCCTGGTCCTGCATCCCCAGAGCCTCCTGTATCCCTGGAGCATCCCCAGAGTCTCCTGCATCCCTGGAGCATCCTGAATTCCCAAAGCCGCTTGCATCCCCAGAGCCTCCTGCATCCCCATCAATAAAAATATTTTATTCATCAATAAAAATAATTTGCAAAAGACTGGATGGACTTAGTGAACAACCTCAGCTTTACTTGCTCCTAATTCCTCGATTTATTCACTGAATTATAACGTGTCCAAGGAGAGAGTGTTCTCTCTCTCTTTTTTTTTTTAATTAAGAACACAGAAGAAAAGGTGTGAACTATGCAAGAAGAGCTCATTTTCTTTGGGACACAAGAGCCCATAACATTGCCTCCACACTTGTTTTTTGCCTGTTTGTTTCTGAAGTCATTTGAGGTTTCTGAGCTTCTAAAAGAGAACTGTGCATTTTTTTTTAAAAATAGTAAAAATGAGGAAGATGAAAGTCTTTTATGCTGTTTAAATACTCTGATAGAAGTGTCCCACTCCTGTGTCACAGGGCAGGAGTTCGAGCACCATCAATAAAGCTGAAGACACAGCCAGAGGCTGCAGCCCAGGTACTCACCCCCGCCCATGGTGTGGTTCCAGCAGGGATCTGGTCACAGCGTCAGGGAGAGCATCACACGCTCCAGCTGCTGCCAGAGACCCTCCTCGGGGAACTCTGCTTTTATACTTCCTGCCCCCTGCGAGGAGCCCGGTGACACCAGGCACCCTGGTGTCACTGACATTCAGCAGACCCTCCTCCCCTTCCTCCTCCTCCTCCTCCTCCTCCTCATGTGCTCAGAGCCGTGCGGTGCTGCAGGTTCCACACACCCAGGGCTGTCACTGGCACACAGGGTGTGATGTGGGCTCTGCTGCTGCACCGACACACGAGAAAAGGTCTGCAGTGAGGGAAAACCAGGGGAAGGAGGCTCCTTCTCACCTCCCCTCTGCAGCAGGTCCTGCTTCATCTGTGGAGCACCCGCAGAGCCCAGTGCTGGAGGAAATGGGGACGATCCATCCCACCTGCCAGACCCGTTCTGGGAAGGGTGTTCAGGATGAAAAGGCTCAGTGCACAGGACTGCCCGTGGCCAGCAGCCCTTCACCCTTCTCCCTCACGACACTGTCAGCAGCTCAGTGACTTCCCCTCTTTCTGCTTTTGGGTATTTTTGTGCTCCCATCTGCACCATCTTCCCCAAATCTTCTGCGCTTTGGAAGTCCCACTCCTTCCCCCAAGGCAAATCAGTGGCTTTTGTTTGGTGGGTGTCCAAGGGGGGCCCTGCTCTTGGAACAGACCCCTCTAACAGGCAGAAACATCTCCAGCTCCTCATAAACTCAGTTTCCTCCCAGGCCAGGGTCACTTAGAAGTACTGCCTTTGGCATCATGTCCTGTCCATCTTCTCACACTGTGTCAGTGCTGTTACTGCAGCCAGGTGGAAAAATAGAGCATCACAGGATGGAATCCCAGCCCCAGTTAAATATATCTGAAGTTGAGGACAGTCTCGAGGGTCCTGTGGATGGTCCTGGGTCCTGTGTAAAGACCCAGATCCAGTTTCAGACCATCCTTAGACATGGTGACAGCCTGGCTGCCGCTTAAAATCCTTCCCAGTGTTTCTCTCTCAGTGGGCCAGTGCTGCCGTGGTTCTGAGGCCGTTCTAGGGTGCTCAGGGCAGGGTGCTTGAGGACCACGGGGGTTTTTCCCTGCTCACCCAACGTGACCCTCACTTCCCCTGGCGTGCTCTGAGTGCCCCCACACCTCGCCTGGCACTTATCTCAGTCAGCAGGTGCCGTTCCCGTCTCTGCAGCTATTTATTGCTCTGTTTGCCTCTGCTCACCAGGTACCCGGGCAGGTACAGTGCCTCGAGAGCTTTATCTCGTAACCACTTCCCCCAAGGAGGACCAGAGATGAAAGACTTCCCTCGGGTACGGGCAGAATACCCAGAATCGGGGGGTGTAATGGGGCTGTGAAGGATTCACACGCGGTCACGGCCCTGCCTGGGGAGGGGTGGGTGTGCGGAGAGGGGCACGGGCCCCTCGGTGTGCTCTGTGTCCCCACTGCTCCAGGGAGAGGCAGCTGGCAGTGTCCCGGTGGATCCATCCCCAGATCTGCACTGGCTGAAGCCAAAGACAAGGAGGGGATGCAGGCAGGTGGTTTGCAGTTTGTTTTCTGCACGTGGTCCCAATCTTCATCTTCAGAGCTTTGATACGTGCCAAGTTCTGTGTTGCCAGAGCCCATTCAAGCAAATTGTTTTTCTTAAAAAAGAATGGGAATATTTAAAATAAACAATTTGCTCTCTGTGTGTGACACTGAATTTCTTTACGGTCACGTTTTATCCCCGGGGAGTTCTCAGAACAGTTATTAAAGCTTTGCTTAATTCAATTGTGTATATTTCCAGCCTATTTCATGCCTCAGTGATTCCATCTCTTTGACACATTCCCTGAACTCGGGTGCCCCGTGAGCAGCTTTTCACAAAACTGTGATCCTGTGGGAGCAAACACACCGAACTCCAACAGTGCCAGGCCTGAGCCGTGCCCAGGAAAGCCACACTGCTGTGTCACCAGAACCCATTTGTTACCCCAGAGTTAATTAACTATGTAAAAAGTTAATTAACCATATAAAGGGAATCAAGTTACCAGGTATTTCCAGTCCCTGGGTCCCTCTGTGGGGACCCTTCAGTGCCAGAAGAGTGGAAGTCAGTGATTCAAACCTGCTGCTCAGGCAGCGGGTTCATCAATCAACTTCTCAACGAAAATGCATTTCCTGATAAATTCCACAGGAAGTTGCTCAGAAAGAGAGATTTCGGTTCAGTTCAGGCTGGTTCCACTTGAATTGAAACATCAAGTTAGAACCAAATTGAGCTGTGTGATCTTGAATTGCTCTGACATTAAACTGTGGCTCACTCAGCCATGGAATATCATAAGGGAGCCAAGTTCTGTGTCTCACATCCATGGGCTGTGTGTAAAGCTGGGATTCCTGCAGGTTGTCCTAACTCATGGACATCCCGAGGCGGGAAGGATCCCAGTGCTGCAGGGGATGGTTCCTGGACAGCACACATGGGCTGGGGGATCTTGGAAAGCAAAACTCAGGGCTCTGCCTCAGGAGGCGGAATTTGGTCTGAGAAAAGCACAACACGGAGTGTTCTTATATCCTGGATTCAAAACTTTCTGGTATTTTCCACTAATTTTGCTTTAGGTGAATTGAGATGGAAACTCTGGCTCCCTCCCCCTGTTCCGAGCCACGGGAAGGTTCGTCCCCTTCATCCCCTTTGCTGGAGGAAGCCGGAGATGCCCAGACAGAAGCATTGGTGAGTGCAGGGTGAACCAGCTGCACTTCCCAGTCACATCCCTGTGCTGACGTCAAGGAGGGACCCTGACGTGTGCCCTGCTGCTCCCTCTGCCCAGCAATGCCAGCCCGGGGTACCCAGGATCTCCCAGCTCTGGCTCTGCTCCTGCCCAGACCCCCCTCTCTGATGTCTGGGGCACCCCGGGGGGTTTGTGGTGGAAGTCACGGGGGCTGCTCTGGGGGGGGGCATTTGATGTCATTGTTCCTCAACAAACAAAAATAGCAGAAGTGAAATTGTGGAGTAAATTCCTGACCTTCAGAGGGGCACCGAGCTGGGATTCCTCGCCCAGCGGAGTTCTTCGAGCGGGCGCAGGGGATGCCCTGACAAACTGTCTCATGATTGTGATCTCACCACGAGGTTATTAACAGATCCTTATCCCCCGGGGGGAGGAAGCAATCTGTGCAGTGCCAGCTCTGATGGGGCTGTGCAGCTGCCCACAGTGGTCCCCCACAGCAGGGAAGGGCACAGCCGCTGTCACCGGGAACTCACCCGCCTCGTGCCCCCGTCACGTATCAGGTGATGGCCTTGCTCTCCAGTTCTTTTTTTGAGGAAAAAAAGAGAGATTTACCAAGTTGGCATCTGCCCTGCACTAAAGCATGGACAGCAGGAGGAATTTCTTCACAGAACTATGGCAGGGAGGGCACATGAGCACCAGTTGTGTCTAAAGAGGGTTTAAGCCTTCCCACAGAAGTGGGCAAACTGCTGGGAATTCCCACAGGGAAACACTAGTGAGCAGCAAATCAATCGTTTAGGGAGCTGAAGAGATCCTGATTAGGGAGATAAAGCATTATGGCCCCTAAAAATAATTGAGGGTTGAAGTGTCCCTGACCATCCAGCAAACATCCTTCCTGTGAGCTGTGTTACCTTGTTCAAAAGGTGGAAGGTTTAGCACCAATCCACTGCTGTCTTTGGAAGAAAACTGGGTATAGAAACAAAGAATAATCCCATCAGGGGTTGCTCCAGGCAGAGCTCATCCAGCCCTCTCTGTCATGGATACGGAATTTCTCATCACTGGAATTGAAAAATAGTAATTAGAAAAAGATTTTTGTTACTGTTACTGTTGTTACTCTTTCTGATCTGGCTTCCCCCACCCTGAAACTGGTGCCAGAACTCAAGTGGCTTTTTAACAGAATCGAGGGAACAAAGCAAATTGAAACTACTTGTTGACAGAAATTACTGGCTTCTGGAAGTCACAAGTGAAGCTGTACGTGATGACTTACAACAAAATAAGACACCAGGTTGATATGTGCAAAACCACTTCAAAAAACCCCTCGAAGGCTGTGGAAAAAGAAACGTCAAAGCGAAGGGAACTGAGAGCACAAACAGTGAGACAGGCCCAAAGCAGGATCCAGGCTCTAAAAGCCAAGTGCCTGATCCCACTTGGTCATCAGATCCCCCGGGAGAGTTTGTAACACCCTGCAAACACAGGGGGGATTTCAAACCCAGGGATCCAAGCCCTGGACTGAGCGTTCAAAGCCTCGGCCGGGTGTTGCAGCTCCGTGAAGGCACAACCAGTCCTGGCTGCAACAGCCCAGGATGGAACTGGTGCCTGCCTGGAAAAACACGTGGAATTCCAGCCCTCCTGCCTCCCTGGTGTAACTGAACCCCCCGGTTCTGCAGCGCAGCACCCCCAGCTCTGCATCCAGGTGCCTGGAGAGCACAACCAGCAGCTCGCAGGGTGGGGGGAGCTGAACTCAGAGCTGGGATGGTTGTGCTGTTTCGAGCCCTGAGCAGTCACACAGAGCATGTGCTGCCACAACTGCTGCTGCTGCTGCTGGCAGGCACTGATGCTACTGTACAAGGAAAGAGTAAGAGCTACTCACAGCTCACAGCCGAGGGCAGGACTGTGCGTTCCCCGCAGTCCCTCTCTGGGCAGGTTAATGGGGACTCCTGGTGGCAGCACCTGCTCTGGCTCACACACCTCTGCCAGCGCACAGCCTGCACCACTTCCGTCTCCAGTCGGCTGTGAGGGGTGTTTTTCCTCAATATTCCAGCAGCTGGGACTGCTGGGAACGCTTGTGAGTTAAGAGAATGAAGGGAGGTCAGCACAGGAGCAAGGACAGCGCTGGGGGAGCGGCAGTGGCAGCACAAGGGGTTGGATTGGTGGCCAATGGAACATTTGTTTTGTAGCTCTTGATAAATTGAGTTAAAAAGTGGCTTTCTAAAAAAAAAAAATAAACAGCGAGGCCTGCCTGGCTGGGGGTTCAGGGCAAAACCTGGGGGAAGGAGAAATAAACCATCCCTGGCTCCTTGGGACGGGGCAGGTACAGAGGTTGCACTTGGAGCTGGTGGGAAATGGGAAAACATCCTGGGATAGAGGAGGGACCTCGGGAAAGGCCTGAGCAG